CACTGGTGAGGTAGATGGATCCGGTGGTTCTAGACTTGCCAACTACTGCTTGAGAGTGTCCACCAGCTAAAAGCAGTGCAGCGACTAAACCAGCCTTCCAGTCTCAATGGGAGAAACATCTTGAGGACATTTTAGTCAGTGAGTGAGTGGCTGATGGTGGTGAAGGGTGGGGTGAGACTCTGTTCCTCCCCTGCGCTCCCCAGCCTCAAAGCTCCAGTGACTTTTTAAAGGGTAGTCTGTACACCGAATCCAGGTGAAAAACCATTAGCTGTTTGCTGCCTTTAATTTTTTTTGAGACATTTGAAATGTGTATTGTACAACTCAAAAACAACAACAAGAAGTCCCTTTAGTAAATTTTGCGTAAATCTTATATATATGGTGTATGTTTGTAATGTGTTTATATATTTTCAAGAGTTTTCAATTCAGTCAATCCAAAATCTCTGTTAACACATCTCAAAACGTTTACACCACTTTTTCAAAGGGCCTCTTCACAGGTCCGATGCTGCTTATTAATGGTCTTCTGCCCAAAACCAAGATATCCTGACATTTCATTTAGCTTTCAAGCTTTTCATGCTGAAATAAGTACTCACTTAACTAAATACACAATTAGCCAGAGAAATATCAACATCAACTAGTTTGAAGATTTATCGTTTGAGTAATTTACCAAGCAAGTTTCCAGGTTCTCAAATGTGAGGATTTGCTACCATTATTATACTTCTGCATTTCAATATCTTTGGGTTTTGGACTAACAAACAAAACAAGCAATCTGACCTTGGGCTCTAACAACTTGTGATGCCACAATCCAATGTTTCCTCATGTAGACTAGAATACGTAATGTTTTATTTGAAAAAAGGAAAAATCAACTAAGAATGAAGATAATAATTATTTGCACCGCTACATGCATTTGATGTAGTTTCTTCCACGCTAATAATGTTATGATGATAATGGATTCCTCTGTTCATCGGTCAGTCTTGTCTTCAGGTTTGACCAGCAGATCAAGCGGGTGCAGATCCGCAGTATGAGGAGGGACTGGCTGGTTGTATAAAGGTTCAGCTATTCTGCCTTCAGCCAACCATCAGGGGGTTCCTCTCTTAGCTCCGTGGCATAATTGGCAAACCGTGCGGTGTCATCTTACCCTTCTCTTTCAATGCGGCCTTTTTCCCTCCTCCCTTCCCAAACGAAAAGGGTGGAGAGTGAGGGAGTCTTTCTCAGATGTTGGTTTGGTATTGCTGTAACAGTCAACATTGAACGATATGGTCCGAAAAAGCTGCTGCATACTGAGCTCCATATATCTGGGTCAGGGTCTGCTAATGTAGGTGACAGGGGGATCTGGGGATTAAAACCTCTTTATCTGCCTTTGCATAAATCCTGCTTTATAGCCTACACTTCAGCTTTAGCTAATATGATTTGTATTGTTACCAGTTTGCCTGCAGGCTAGCTATATTTGATCTACATGGACATCCTCATCGGACCTGTGAAGAGGCCTTTTTGCTTTTGTGCATGTCGGCCATTAAAACAGAAAGAGAGTGGGTAAGTGCTGAGATGGTGGTGATACACTCAGACTGGTTGACATAAAAGGGCTCAGCTCAAGCTGTTACTCACTGATTCAGGTTAACTGTTGGTTTGTCTCATGTTACAGAACACATCGCGCACATATGACGTGTACATGTAAGTAAAAAGTCTTAATACAACATGAATATGACGTGTTCTCAGTTTGTTCTGTGTGTGCACCTGTCTACTTTTATCTGTCAAATGATGTCTTGTTTTTTTATCATACAAATTCCCTTATCTGTGATGCAAATAAATACTTTCAAAAGACGGATCCATGTGTCAGACTCCCTCTAACGATCTTCTCTGCTGCAAAGTGCATTGTGGGATAACCCTTGTCAATGCGAGGCCTTCTCCAGATGGTCCGAGCAGCTCAGGTTACACCGCATTTTTCAGTGCCCCCTCTATCCCACAGCCCCCCTGGCCCCTTTCTCCATCTCTCTCTCTCACACACACACACACACACACACACACACACACACACACACACACACACACACACACACACACACACACACACAGAGTTTCCTGGGTGGGTAGAGTCGGGCTGAGACAGTGCTTCGCCTGTGTTCTAATGCAGGCTTCAGAGCATTAGTGAAATGAGATTATCATCATTCTTACGCAGTGTCTGGGCTGGAGGTGGACAGAGGTGTGAGCTGAGAAGGTGAGGATGCCATTATTAGACTATTAGGCTACATTACGGGTGAAGATGCATCACCAGCCATATGTCTGCTGATGCTCAAGCTTTACGGGAAACTCTGCATGAGACCCAGATGTGAACTAAGATCGATTTTGTGTTTTGTTTTTTTAAAGAAAGCATTTATGTTACAGTTATTCTGCATTTTCACAGATTAGAAAACTGTTTCTGTCTCAGGCCAGAGAGTGAGACGTTGGTCAGCAATAGGGGTAATCTATTTTTCTGAAGGGTTAGGCAGTGACAGATACATGCAAGTATTCATCTTAAAGAAGCGTTCTTTCAAATTTGCAGTTTAAAGAGTCCATTTCCTTGCATGAGAAGGTTGTTTTTTTAAGTTGTGACCAACCCTATGCTCAGGATGAGGGGTAGGAGATTATCTCTTGTTAGAGCAAGCGGGGGCTTGGGCCACGAGCAGTTTGTACATATGTGTGCGTGCCCATGTGGGAGTGCGTGTGTGGGGGTGTAAGGCCCGGGATGCACGTATTAAGAAACGATTAGTGGAGATTAAAGCTCTGCCCTAGAGTCTGCCTGCACGACTCCAGGCAACAAGAATGACCAACCCCTCCCTTCTCACCCTGCAGTGACCCCCGCGGAGCCAGGCCACTGAAGCCTGGGCTACATCCTTGTCCACAGGCCGCAGAGAATCAATAGCTCTGCCTTCCCTCCGCCCAGTGATCTTCCACCACTAAACATATTGCCCCCTAGGACGGAGCACAAGCTGCCTGACTGCCTAGATTGGATGGTTTTAATGACATCCAATCAGGTTCAAAGTCAGTCAGATGGATGTGACGATTGGAAGAGTGCACTGCGGTGTGGTGCACGATGATGTAACTTGTAACAGTGTCACGCAGTGCAGCACCACAAGCCCTTTCCTTGTAAAAAATGTCTCTGAGACCTAGATCAGCCCCGGTGCAGGTGATGTTATCAACCAACAAATATGTATTCACACAGAACATTTTAACAATGACTACAATTTGGTAAATTCACATTGGCATTGTTAAGAATTTGGCAGTGAATAATAATAAAATATACCTTAATTAAGATCATTTATGGAAGAAGGAGAGATCAAGTTGATTTGTTCTCTCTTTAGTGCAATATTGGTGGTGGTTGTGGCCAAAACTAAAGTACAAAATGTGTGAACAATTGCAACTTCTCTTTAGTTAAAGACACTTACTAAATGAGGGAGACTGTTAGATCTTAGGAAATAGGTTATACTCCACTTTGATCCCAAAATACTATACTAATACTATACAATTCAGTATATCTTTGTCAACAATGTACTTCCCTTTTATAATACAAAATGCTTTTTCTCATTTAGATTTTCATTTTGCAAATGTAGGATGCAGCATGGAGGTCATACTGTTTACACATATCTTGGAATAAAACTCAACAAAAAGGTGTATTTTCCACTTGAAAAGTAGTGTAATTGTTACATTGAGATGAAAAATAATTATATCACATCAAAAACAATAATTTTAGTCATTTCAACATTTATAACTCAGTCGAAGGTATCTTAAGACTGGAGTGGGCTGGAGTGGACAGCATCACTTTGAGACAACTTCTGTTCTCATTGAACTGGTGCATTATCATAACTCAGTGGGGTTCTGTGTTAATGATATAGTTGAAAGGTTTCAGTGCACTTTGTGTAAGTTTAGCTGAGGATGGATGGTGCAGAGAGAAAGAGAGACAGAGTTAGAGGAGGGAGAGGCTTAGGTAGCATGAGGTGCAGGCCTTTTTCCAAGAAAGCATGCTAATAAGGTCTTCTTAATCTGCAGTGACAGTTTGATGCGCATGCGTTATACAAAGATTCCTCTTGGCTACGAAGACCCACAGCATGCACCTGACTTTTTTTTCCAGCGCACACAAGGGGTCCAATCTAAAAATGAGTTGAGAATAAAACATAACAAGAAGGAAAATGGGATCTTTTCATCTCTGTGAATGCAACCTGGTTCAGCTTTAATCTGGAGAAAGAGCGGGATATACACTGACGCCTGATAGATTAAGGCCCGAACGCTTCTCTCTCTGTTCTACTCTGCAACAGAAGGGCCCGGCTAGCAAATCCCAGGCTTTAAAGCAGAGGAGGTTCAGGCAGCTTATGATGTAATCATGGCCCTGTCTGTCACGGCAGGGTGGGTGGGGGTGCTGTAGGAGAGTGTGGTTATTGGGTTTTGTGGCAACTCTTATCGCTGAGGGACAAAATGCAGACAAATGTGGCGTCCTTCAGAAAGGGAAGGTGCTGTTATTAGGTTGCCAATATCACAATATCCACAAGGTCTAACATAAAGCTTCCTGTATGTGTGTCTCTTCTGCTATAATGTTGTTGAGTTATTGTTTGGGTCAAGGGTTCATGTTAGCGAAGACATTTAGCATTATGCTAGCTTCAGTCACCCAACATATTTAACTGTGCAACATCAAACTGATTGCAGCTGTTCATATTTTAATGTTTATCTGTGATTATCCTAAGTATTTTACTTTTAATAGGTTTAATAGCTTATTCGTACATACCGTATATATACAGCTGACTACAGTGATTGGTAAGAGTTGTGAGACTTAACAATTAACATGCATTATATTAAACCAAAACAATTACCTAAAAGATGCTAAAAGGCTTTGTAGAGCTTCCATTATCGCATGTAGTCTTTGATTCAATGTTAATATCAAAACAATGAACTAATGTTGCTTTAACTTTCTATATGTCCTTTAATGGTTACACCTTTGGTTGAACAGTGTACTAATAATCATGAGAGAAACAGAATGAATGGTGAACAGCAGCCTTTTATTGGACTTTTTTAAATAGTGGTGAAAGTTGAACCAAATGTTACAGCTGCATCCAACTACGTAGATTCTTGGCAAGCAATTTTGTTGTTGTAAGTTTTAAGGAAATACTTTTTTTGATGTTTGCATCACAAATACTGCAGCTCATGTCCAAGTTTGACTAACTTTCTGTGATGCAGGCCACCGAGTCTTAATTGACATACAAAGGGTTCATGTTAAAAAAATAACATACCAAGGGGTGCTTCTATCCATGCAGTGTAAATAAATGGATTTGGTAGACAAAATGGCTGCTTTGGGAAGTCATCTTAGCAGTCCATCAGTAAAAAACACCTTGATGTATATCCTGAGTCTTCACAAATCTTGGCATGTGCGTGGACTACGGTAAAACAGCACAGGGAAAAGCACACAAGACGACGGTATTCCAAAGTAATATTTCATCGTCTAATGTGAGAGATGTCTGGGAGTGTCTCCTGCTCCAATGCTGCTCTGTATACTAACAGGTTTTTAGGTAAGTTGAGGTGGTCAGAGTAAAATTTAGAATGGTCATGAATATGGAAAACAGAGGAGTGATTTCTGACTATGGCACTGAATTGTAAATACATCCTAAAAACAAAACGGTACAGTAGCACATAGACGACAATGAAAATCCAGAACAGTGATAGTTACACACTGTGTGACGCAGTGGTGGCTTTCCTCCCGAGCTTTTTGGTTCATCTTTGTTTTAAGTAAAGGTTAATTGTAAAGAAATAAATACTAAATACTCAACATCACAGAGCTAAAAAAAAAAACATGAAGCTAAATGGGAGAAAAATTACACCAACAAAAGCAATCTTTTTACATAGTAAACACAATGAATCGATAACTCACTTTTACTTCCCCTGCAGATGTACATTTAAAAATATATTTGACATTGTACACAGCGTGATGTCTTGGAAAACAGTAGGATAGACAAATCTCCAAGGTGGCCATTCAGTGCCTTCTACTCTTTCCAGGGTTTTAATTGTCACTGTTCCAGGGTCACAACCTCCACCGCCTGGCCGTCCAGCGTGACAGTGTTATCTATGCGTGTGGCAACAGGTGCCATGGCAACCTGGACGGGCCGGTTGCCCTGGGCGAGGCTGGTCACTACAGTCTGGTACATGCTGACCGGGATCTGGACCAGACCTGAGAAGAAGATGCAGAGATATTTTGGATTTAGACACAAAGCACCATTAACCCGATTGTGTTAAGGTGGAACACCAAAACAGGATCAAAATTACTGTTTTGGTATCCATCTATTTTATTTGTTTTACCCAAGTAGCTGTAATCAGTACTGAGATAATTACTCGGATTATCTATTAGTTAGACGGGAAACCAAATGGCAATAAATCTAATAACTGATTATTAGCTATTAGGTCATTTACCAGGCGGCATCTGGAGGTGTGAGCATTTAAAATGTGAAGCTTTTCTTTCTTGTCATGTAATTTTAAATAGAATATTTGTAAGTTTTGAACTGTTTGTCAGATAAAACAAGCAAATTGAAGATATTGCCTGAGTGAATAGATAAATAATCAACTGATTATTCAATAATGAAAACTATAATTAGTTACAGCCTTAGCTGTGATATTGGAATGTTATCATTTTCCTAATATTCAGGTGTTGGTATCACTTTATATATTGACAGTATTCTGTAGACAAAGTTAGTTTTTATTTATTTTTTATTTAGTTAGTTATTAATAATCAACAACTTTTGACAATCCATTAATCAGTTAATTCATTTATTAGTGAAAAATCTGCTGGGCGGAGATTCTGTGTGGGGTTTGGATGAAACAAGCAATACAAAGATATAACTTTGGGCTTGAACACATTTCTCTTCTGACATTTTATAGACTGAAAAAAGTAATCAACATCTTAATTGCTATTAGTTGCAGTCCGAACGAACGAACCAATACTTCTCGTTCAGCCTCTGGCCAAAAGGAGTTTGTTTGACACGGTGCTCGGGAGGCAGTCAGGTCCAGGTAGTTGTCTGTGACAGGAGGCAGCCATGTTACAGAGACGGCATTTCTGAACAATGGTCCGATTGAACGTTCTCAGCTCGCTTCCCCCCATGCCCAGCTGTGTGTTTGAGTGTATATGTGTATGTGTCTCTGCCTGTAGGGATTAACTGCTGCAGTCACGTGGGCCTCTGCCCCACCCTGCAAGCTGTCACGGTGTCACACACAGGCAAGAAGGTCAGTGTAGGGGATGGCAGTGGCTCATGCCCACTCCCATTACTGTAAGATAAGACACTAGACATTAAATGCACTAAATAGACACTCCCCATGAATGCTTTCAAATACATAACTGGGAGGATAGAGGGTGGCATTCAAATCTATTCATCTTTCATGTCTACTAAAATAAACTCCAGCCTCTTTTGTCAGGTTAGCTTGTAATTGTTGGTCATCTAATGTGAGCCCTCGTAAGCCCACTCGCCAGTGATTTGTGACAGGGTTAAGTTTTGCTGATGCAGGTAATTGTGCTGGCAGTGATTATGGTGGAGGGCTTAGGGAATGGGGCATTGGCCTGGCACGGTGACATACGGACACAGCGCAGTTACTGAGTGAAGTGCCTCATTCGGCCACTCAAACAGAGTCACTTAGACGTCAAGGGCCGTGTCTGGTGTGGTCGTGTGTATGTATTATTGTGTGTGTGTGTGTCTGCATGCCTGTGTCAGTGAAGGGTCGCTACACAAGCCAATCAGGGTGTCTGGGCCAGTGCACTTCAAACGATGCCCTCCACTCCTGTGTAGCACTACAGTGATTAGCTAAGGTCAATAGTCGGGAGAAGGACTGGCTTTGGCAGCTCCATTAAGTGAGCTATTGAAGCCAAATGAGTCCTTATGGTTTAGGAAGCAAGATGTCACACAACAAAGGCTACAGATGTTAGATTTGAATAACTTCAATTGACATTAGTGTACAAATGTGCAGATATATGCTAGCACACTGTACATACTGTTTTAGTGAGTGTTTTATGACGAAGATGATGAAATTCAATTTCACTTGCGTTAACCTGATGTATTAACCTAATACCAATACAATTCCTGCCATCTTAACACCCTATTTGGTTTCTTTTATTGTTTCTATCTATAAAACATTGCTGCATCAAAGCTCTCCCTCGAGAAAAATAGAAGAAATGGCGAATATGAAAATGATTGAAACTCGACACGTGTGTGTGTGTGTAACTAAACTTTTTGTCTGTGTAGAACTTCCTGTTATCTGCTAGAGATGGACTTTGATGTTTATATTTGTTAGCATTATGAATTGTAGTATCATTGCACTGTTTACGAATTACTATGATTCAAAGCATCTACGTTCTAAAAGAAATGATCAATATGAAAGGATAATATTAAATAAATAAAAAATACGACTCCTTATGCTATGTATTTCTTTAGTTCCACTTATATATATCTGTATTCATGTGCAATAGACCACTTACATTTATAGTCTGCATTTGCCAATCATCATCAGATTTGCAGCCTGTCCCCTGATGTTAACTACTGACAAGGAGTAGCTTTACGTTCCACCCTGAGGATATTGACTGAACATATGCTTAAAATGGTTGTTAATGGTACCCAACAAGGATGCGAGTATGTCATTACAAACTCATCCAGTCCCAGCAGACACCCACTGCCATAGCAGTGCATGCAGCATGCATGTAGGGAGGCTGACGATAGGGTCATGAAGCTAACATATCGTTAAGAGAAGGGAGTATTGCTACAAGACACACACATACACACGCAAACACACCATCTGTCACATCAGCACAGAGTAGATTAGAGTGTAGGAGCTCAGAGGTCTCACCACAGTGCTACTGAAGGAAAGCTTACACTTAGTAAGACTAATTAGAAATGCCATTGGCTGGGGAACACACACAAGTGCCAATTAGTCAAGATGTGATGCCAAAAATGTCTAAATAATTAAAAAAAAAAGGTTCAGTTTTTATATTTTATTTTATAACATCTCAAACACAATATTTGCATCTTCTTTTTGAGAGATCACTGAAGTCAGGGTGAAATAAATATACAAAGTTTGCAGCTGTCAGCATTTTGTGGCTTCCACTCAGACCACTGATTTGAATATGTTGAAGTTGAAATGTGGTTTAATCCAGGAAGAGGTTCAACGGCTGTCACACTTACTGTATATAACAACCACACATGCATTCATACTCATCAGAGGCAGAGGCTGCCCTAAAAGGTGCCAACTGCTCATCGGAAATGAACTAATCCTATTACACACCATCACAGATCGAAAGCTTGACTACTTGGGGTTCAGTATCTTGCTCAAGGACACTTTGACATGCGGACTGAAGGAGCTGGGGATCGAACAGCCAACCCTCTGATTCGTAAAATGATCCGCTCTACTCCCTGAACCACAGCTGCATTTATATTTCTTTATTTTGAAAATCATACAATACAATGAGACACATTTTATAGGTGCATAATTTACACTTAACAGTTAACAGACATAAAACACGGACAAATTGCACCCAGGTGCAAAACTTTATGGGGTGACTGCACTGTAATATCATTAGCGCAATGTCCTTTATGAATCGGATCTTGAGATGGGGCAGATGGAGGTTGCAAGTGATGTGCAATTTATGATATGACTGTTTGTAAACTCACTGCACAGTGTAATTTGACACACAATATCAAACTAAATTGTCCTCTGGTGCCATAGACAAATTCCGTCATTTGAAGTGTATTTTTCATTTTGTCCCAGTCATGTTGATTATACACATTGATAAATATATATACCTGTGGCATCTTGAACCCCTGCAAGTGCCCCAACAGCAGCTGCTGTCTCTGCCAGGACAATCTGCCCTCCGCCTTGTAGAGTGGCTTCTGCCAATGTGGCCACCGCATGGGCTGCTGCCTCACTGCAAAACACACAAACACACACATCAGATATAGTGAACAATTTGTAAAGGAAAGGGGGAAATATACCTTTTCTGTGCTTACAATTTAAAATAAAAACACACACACAAAACACCCTCATATATATGAGGGTGTACACACACACACACACACACACACACACACACACACACACACACACACACACACAGTCTGCTCACAAAGACGAGGGTTATTAGAGAGATGTGGGGTGAAGAGGTAGGAGTGTATGAGCTGTAAGAGGCTTTTCTAGTCTGGACTTATGGAGAATCTGTCACATCTCCCTAAAGGCCAGGTGCTACGGGTCTAACAAAGCAGTTTTATTAACCAGATCTGTCCAGTGGAATTACCACGAGCCTATTACCACACCAGCTTCGTTATGAACTAATGGAACTGTTCACAGCTTGGACTTATAATCACATCTGAGATAGAACTACAGACGGACAGATAAGGAGGAGGAGGAGGAGCTGAGAGAGTACAGACAGAGACAGTAAGCAGTGATGATGCATTCGCACTGCGGTTCTATGTGGATGACACCCAACTGCATATTGTTCTGTAGGAAGATGTCAGCAGAGTCTGACAACATTGATATTAAAACACTTTCTATCAAGTTTTCAGTGACAGTGAGTTTTTGTATTTTGATACATTTTTCATCAATTGCAAAGACAAAGAATGAAGTTTTTCTGTTAAGAGGTAAACATTTTGTGCAATCAATGAAGATTAAATGGCCAAATCTTGGCAATGAGAGGGATTTACTAATAGTGTTTTGCAGTTGACCACGGCTGATATGATATGGTGTAATTTTTGGTCACAATGTCAACACAGCAGAAAAGACAGCAAGAGAAAGAGGCTCTATTCTCCCTCTGGAGCTGGAAAACAGAGACAAAATGTTCCAGAGCCTGTGGAGCAGAGAGCCCAGAGTAGCTTAGCACAGGTAAACAGGGGAGAGGAGGGGAGAGGAAGGAGGACTCAGGTGGGTGCAGGTAACAAGCCCCAATGGGACATACCCATACAGATCTGAAATTATTGCCTTGACACTACTGCTGGGAAAAAACAGAAATGTCAGCATCTCAGCAAGTCTGACTGATGAATTTGCAGACCTTGAAGACCTTTTAGATTATAAGAAAGAAAGACGAGAAGAATCAAAGGTGTAGATCAAGAAGTGGCTATGGCTAGCTACAAGTCTATAGGTTTTAGCTGCAACCAATGACTACTAACAAATCTTTTTAATGAGCACACTTTCAACTTCCAACTTGCTTGTATTCCTGCTCTGTAATCAGATCCTGCAGACACTTGGTCCTCCATGGGACATGGTTTAAGACCCTGTTGTAGATCCCATCTGAATACAATCATGTGTGGCTGATTTGCCTCCAGAAAAACATTAAAAAGCAACATGCCCTGTACATGTTTTACTACTGAGTGGCTGCAGTTAAGACATTTGTCACTGTTGATGGTATTATGATTGAAAACAGGACTGTTTCCTGAATCTGCAGTCACCGTTTAAATAAGGGTCAGCATACTGTTTCCTTAACTCTCACAATCTATTAATACAGCTTCAATTACAAGTTCTAAATGCCATTTTATGTGTGATTTTATTTCAAACCTTTTCTGACTTAATTGCACTAATTAGCAGTCAATCCCTTAACATCTGCGTGTTTTTGCAATAAACAGAATTATACAGAGCTGTTAGCACATGGAAATATGTGTCTAACAACCAATTTAATGGTTGTGCACCTTTGCACGCTGCCTCTATAAAAGCTACAGGCTAATTAATTAGGGGCTGAACTAGGAAGAGAGGCAGTTGACTCTCCAGGGGACCCCAGCGACCCGCTCTGACAGCTGTCTCATTCTCATCCAATTGTTAGAGCTGCCGAGTAATTACAGAGTTTTCTTAGGGTCTGCAGTGTTTGCTGGCTCCACCATTAGTAAGTGAAGACCATAGAGGATTGTGTCAGTGAAAGTTAAATACCAAATCCCCATTTGTTTTTTTAAATAGAGGGGGCAATTCTACAGTGACTGCTTTATGCTGCCATTTCTGCTTTTTTGTTGCAAACAATCCAACCTCCATTTCCCTCTTTGTCAGGTGTGAGGAGGAAACTTGTGAGCAGGAAACTTGTGAGCTGAGGATATGAGCCATACACACACTTGAAATCTATAAGTGATCTACTTCAGTTCTCAATAAAATTCATGACATAAATCCACCTAAAATAGATTTAGAATAAAATAGATTCTCCAAATGAGAATGCTGCTGAAAGATAACAGCAATTGTAGATCTGAATATGAACATTTACAATCTCTTATACACAAGGCCCCAATGTAAGTATGCCTTTTTAGTCTTTTTACTCTATAGATAAGCATTTCTTTCTCATGTTGCCTTCATGCCCCACAAAGTCAAAGCCAAATAACATAAAGGTGTTATTTACTTGTGACTTTAAAAGACTTGTTCCTCCATGACCTTGCCAAATAACTTATTTCACCTCAGCCATCCTCACCTGTTTAGAGCCATTGTGACGGTGGCTCCGGGCTGCATCTCCTGACTGGCAGCGACGGCGGCTTCAGCCAGGGATGCTACCGCCTGCGTAGCCTCTGAGGCCTGAGTGGTTTGGATCGTCATCTCGCCACCTTGGAGAGTGGCCCAGTTCTGCTCCACCTGAAGAGGAACAATACAACTTTATACAGAAGGCAAGCGAGGATCAGCAGTATAGAAATAAATAATTGGGTGAAGATTGCTGTTAATGGATGGCTGGTCTTCTGGCTTTTGATTTTGTGGTGCTGAATGGACAGCTCCCACTAAGTGCACTTCATTGAAATTTGCTGCATATTCTTTTTTTCTATGACTCAGCCATTAGTGGCACTTTTCCTCAACTCCTCATCAGACTTGTTATATATATCAATTTATGTGTTTTGGCAATTAAAGGAGTGGTTCATTTAGAGTTTATTGCAGTAGTCTAGAAGCCAGAAATGTGTATATACTTATAGAGAATAATAATAAAGTGATTTAGAAATATATGTTTATTCATGTGGGGATTACCTCTCCATCAGTCACAGTGGAGTAGTTGACCTGTGCCACCGTAACACCGGGCAGCTCTGATGCATCTGCCAGGGTGGCAACTGTGTGTCCCGTACCAACCTGAGAGAAAAGGTTGCAGTCACAAAAAAACAAAAAAGTAAATGGGCAGGGTATTAAACCTTAGGATTACTGTGTGAGATTTTAATTTGAATCCCAAAGACCATCATGATCAAAGCAGCAAGTGAAATGCACCTGGATGAGCGAGACTGTTCCGTCAGGGTTGTTGATGGTCTGTACCACAGTTTGTGAGGGCACAAGGTGAGCGATACTCTGCGCAGTGGTCAGGTGGTGCTGAGTGGGTGCTGTCGTGGTTATCTGTTGGTCTTCAAAAGCATACAGCAGATCCTCACGGCCGTGCTGCTTGTAGCAGTTCTTAACGATGGTTCGCAACGCCTGCGTCCAAGACACCTTAGGAAACAGAAATACAAGTTAATATGGCAGATAATACGTTTGTTTGTTAAACAATTGAGGCTTAATAAGGACAAATGTTATTGGGAGGAAGGGGCAAGGCAAAACAGTATTTTCCTGCAGAGATCGATAAAGTATGACATCATTACACCAGTATTTCTCTCACCCTCTGTTTCTGCTCTTCTGTGCGGACGTCACTGCGGACGTTGGCCCAAGGGATATCCTCAGGCCACCACGCTGGCTTGCAGCTCTCCTTTCCCCAGCCAGGCTTCCCTCTGCCTGTCGAGTACTTCAACATTTCTGGGATGAACGCTCGCAACTGGGCCTGAAGCAAAAGGGACAGATGCATGGAGTAAGGAAATGATACACACACCAAAACTCTAAAGTGGAAAGCTGCAGTGACTCCCTCACACACACGTAAGCACACACGCCCTTGAGCAGGCAGCAGGAGGCGCGTATTGATCGGGTACCTGCTACCGGGTGCTGAGGTGGTCATGGCCTGCAAATAGAAACTGGCTTTCTAAAAGGAGAACAATGCGATCATGTTTATTAACAGACCAATCTATGGCTGTGGCTCCAGACACTATGGGAACATCAGGGGTGATCAGACACAGTCCAGCAGTCAACCTGTCCTAGGAAAGGCTCCAGTATACTCAGTGTAGGTATTAACAAGGACAGGCTGGTCAATATTGTTAAAAATGAAAATCAATGTCAAACAAAAACATAGAGACTCAAGTTATTACTGTGGATTGATTGTATCAATGAGTGCTTGTCTATTATATTTGAGTGTCCCATTCACAAACAATGGAGTAAAGCTTCTTTAGTGCAGGTCCTTAGAACTAAAATTGTGTGTAATTGTGGGCTTATTACTTTGTCCTAGAGTTAAGAGACCAGCACTTAAATAGGATGTCCATTATTTATATTGCAGAGGTAGGGCTTATTATTTTCACTAATTGTTAAAAAGGAAATTAATTGGTAGCACCTGACCTGAACATTTTTCATTAATGTGTTTCATAAGGATTCATAAGGAATTGTGACCAAAGTATGTACTAGGGACATTTTACAGTTCAAAAGTAAAACTGTTGCAGTTTCATGTTACAAATATGCCAATACGATAAATCTGCAGTAGGCTAAAACTGATCATTGTACTGGACCATCTGACTTATTTGTACCATCAGTGTGTATTTTCAATATTAAAAACTGGTGAAAAGAAAAAAATACTACAACAATGAAGAATATAGTTTGTAGTGATGTTGAACAATATTAAGTCTATGATGTCTTATTTATTCTCCTGTACAGCACTTTGGTCAACTTTGGTTGTTTTTAAAGTGCTTAACAAATAAAGTTGGATTGGACTGGATTACTGAAATAAATGGGACAAACTAGTTTAAGCTAGGTGTACCTAATACATTAACAACTGAATGTAGGTTTAATGAAGCCAGATAACCCAAAGAGAGCTTTAATACACCTAATATATTCTAAGTGTCTCCAGAAGTTTGCATTGTGCCCCAAAGCAGGAAAGGGAATAAGAGAAAGGTCTTAATCTAACCTCATTTCCTTGCTATTGATTATCAACCAACATACATGCTTCACGTGCAGCAGTGAGCTGCATGCATATCCACTCACCGCCACATCAACACTTCCAGAGCGAGCATACACTCACACTCACTGACAGGCTTGGGTGGGGTTTAGTGCCAATGTCCTCAGTGTCCTGGTAATATGCAAGCATCACCGGGGGGATTATATTGCACAATGAGGCACTGCAGCGTCTGCCTGCCTTGACATCACAGGCTAAATTTGGTTCCAGGAGAAATAAATCCCTCCCTCCTCCCCCCCTTAGACCCCCATTTCTAACTGACAACCAGAAACCACCTATACATGGTTCCTCAGTGCAGCACACAAAGAAATATGACAAAATGAACTTTGATAGAAAATGGATGGTCAATACAAGACCAGCTCTGGAAAAACAAACACCCAGGGGCTGCAGTAAAGGCGCTTCACTTCCGCCAACACTTACTGACAGAACAATTTGGATTAGCCCCAGAAAAAAAGGACTTAGTAGCAAAAAGATGCTTGCATTTCCACCTGTGGCTGGTCCATGTGTGGATGTATGTGGATGCATGTGCCCTAGGCCAGATGGCCTAATTACAGTGGCTAGTGAGTTAAGTGGCATGTTGTCCTTGCACCCACCACCCCACCCCCCCAATCCTAATCCTCCAAGCAATGGTCCAATCAGCATTTAGGAAGGCGGCTATGTTGCCGGGTCCCTGGCCCTAACAAGGCTCGGGGGTAATTATGGGCTCAGGCTAGACCCGGGATCACCTGCTACAGATGCTCCACATATCAGACTGACCAGGGCACTTGCCTGTGTCACTAAACCTTACTTGGGACTTCTTCAGCAGCACAAAACCTACTGAGAAGAGTAAGGCATACTAACCAAGCACTAAATCTGATTCATCTCCCTTTCACGCAGCGTTCTCATTATCAAACTTGCCCTTTCTAAGGTTGATCGACCTTTCCCAGAGGGACCTGACAACATCCTGTTTCAAACAATTGGCACACACATACCTCTAAAAACACCAACCCCCACACCTTCCCACCTGGCTTGGGCCAAGCTGAGTGAGGCAACAGGTTACTCGTGATAGTCTCATCCTACAACCTCCAGAAAAACAAGCACCAACTAACACCTGCCCTCCGAGGACACATCTGGCTTTGGGATTGGCTACCGTGCTCCCAGGGTTGAGGGCCGTCTCTGAGGGCCACTGTCATGCTGGCTACTCATGACGATGATCCAGAGAATGCGTCAGCAGCACTGGGAAGGCAGAGTAAACAAGCTGGGTTCCCTCGGGTGAAAAGAGGACTCAGGCTGCCAGTGGTGCTAATGTTGCAGTGAAAGGCCTACCAAGAGCTCTGCACAGCCTCTTGCTGATACCATAGCCTGTCTCGTAAAGGGAGGAGGCTTGGCTTGTCTTCAGATGCAGACACTACCTATGCATCATGCATTACTGTATTAGTGAATTACAATGCTGAAGTCACTTTTGATCATTAAAATGAATTTATGTATTTTAGAAATAATTACGTGTTAGTATGCATGACTCAAACTCATCAAGTGACACTGACGGGCATGTCAAAGAAGATAAAATTGATTGCTTGACCTTGATACATACAGCTAGCTAAGCTCTTGCTACAAAACAAGACACAAAAAAAAACCAGTCTGTGATTCAGATTTGTTGCCAACTGGTGCCCTCTGCTGGGACTGTGTTTGTGTCTCAGACAAACTGGGTTATTTTACTTGGAAGGTTTGGACCACAACAGATAAGTGGAGAGAGCTTCAATTCTAACCTGGGTCATCTTGTCCACAGAGACAGGGATGCCATCAATGGTGAGAGGGGGCAGCTCTGAGGCCAGATCTCCCCCAGCAGGGGCATGTTCAGCCAGAGCGTTCTCCAGATCCTCCAACATCATGCCCTTATACTTCCTGACCTGGAGGATAGGAAGACAGTTGTGGCACAGTGTTTCGGTTTAGTGCTGGAACTAAATCAGATGCTACAAGAGATTAATGGTTAACTGGAAGACCAAGCAAGATTACCAAACATTTGCTGATAAACATCTTCACATATGCAAAGAGTTTCTTGCCTTTCTTTGTTTGATAGCATTATAAATTGACTGTATCCTTTCTTTTACACTGTCAGAATTTTAAGCTCTCAATTTGGACTTGTGATGGACTATTTTTGACATACAAAGTAAATGACTACTAACAAAGAGGTTTGAACCTTATTCTATAATCTTTTGTGAGAGAGGAATGTACATGTACAACGTACATCTTTGTAAAATATGCAGTAGCATGTTGCAGTAATTAAGAGGTTGGAGAGTTTCATTGTGCAGCAGATAAATGTGTTCAACTTGCTGACTGTAAAACTCACCACATTCTCAAGGGGAGCAGCACCAAACACCTTGAACACAGGGTTGGGTTTGGAGGGAGAGATACACAGCACTATAGCCTGTTGGCCCACTCTGGTGGTGTACTCATCCAGGGTGGCTCGCAGTTTCCTGTAAACACACAATAGTCTTTACCTCCTGGTTCAGAATAAAAGCCATAAAGTACAAAACCAACTCTGTCTGAGAGTGAACAATCACCTCAGATGCTGAAAGTGACATTTCAGTCACTGTAACTGTTGAGGGAAAATATATATGGGGAAAGTTGGCCTGTTGGTGTTTAGAGCTCACCTGAGCAGACGAGTCTGCTGCCTTTTGCGGATGGACGGGTTGGATTCAAAGATATGAGGCCTCTTTCTTTTCTTACCAGTTGCCACGGCAGCAGCAGCAGCCATTCCTACTGGCCCTGAGAGAGAGAGAGAGAGAGAGAGAGAGAGAGAGAGAGAGAGAGAAAAGAGTGTGTCTGTTAGTAAAAGTAGAGGATAGTAATCAGAACAAACAACATTCAGTAGATTGATTCTAAATGCTGTTGATTTCCTCCCTGGTTTGATTGATCTTGAATGTATGGCTTATAGAGTATGGGTGTTATTATTAAATTTATTTTTCTATTTTTTAAAAGTGAATAAGGATGAAACTGGTTTAAAATGGAGTAGAATTGCTGGCTCACTAGCACCAACTTAAAAGGGAAAAGACAAAGAGTGTCTTGAGAGGAGGCAATACAGTAGAGTGGCACTGCCTCCACAAAACAGTCCATTGGCATCTCCTGCTGTTCAGTTAAAAGCATTACACTGAATTAAGGCCACAATGGATGTTTTACTGGATAAGCAGAACTCAGAGATGCAAGATAGAAAAAAACATCTGCTAAAAACACAGAAACAGAAGGTCTTATTTGTTTTAATCAGATGATGTTCTTTGTGCCAGACATTCTGAGACAGGGGATGCAGCTTCAACTCAACTCAGTGCAAATGAGAAATAATATCAACACAGACTAAATCTCAGCCAGAACCTCACAGAATATTAAGGTACGGCCAGACATTGGTCGGAAAACCTACTTAAGCATTATTGGATGCTCCTTATCAAATAAGATTTCTCTTTACTGGGTAGAGTCTAGACATACCTGCAGCAGCCAGGTGGGCGGTGACCTCATCAGTACCAGCCGAGTTAAGGATGTCCGTGTCATCGTAAGGATCATCATCCGGTGAGGATGTTGAGTCTTCCTCCGCGCTCATCATGGATGCTTCAGTAAAGGTGGCCACGTGTACCTATACACAGTAATCATCCAAGTTGAATGGGTCTAAACTTCTAAACAAAATATCACAGTACTCATATCTGACTGAGGTGTTCTGTTCTAGTCCAATAACCTAACTAGCAGGTAAAACAATGTGACTTGAGCTAAGAAAGATCATTCCTGGTTTCCACTGTTTAAATACTTAGTCACTATTGCCTCTAAGTGCACCTGCTGGACCTGTTGGCTGACGGCACTGGCCTCGATGGTGGTCATGTGTTCTGTCTGGTGAACGACGTGTTCGTCCATTATTGGCCACCTGGTCAAGACAGCTGGATCCGTGGTACAATGACTGAAGAGAGAAAGAGGAAAAGAAGCGATGCAGCATAAGATAATGATAGTGGAGCCGTTTCATCCCTGTATGGTTGCCTGAGTAAATTTCATCTAATTACAATAGCACAGAACTTGTATTGGAGTTATTCCTGCTGTATTGACTACTGATATACAGCTTAGCAGAAGCATATTATTGTACATACACAATGTAATGTATCAGGTACTACCAATATGACAGCATCAAACAAATACAAATATTTTCACAGTAAATAAAATTATGTATATCAATAGTGTAAAGATGTGGTTGTTATCTTTGTATTTCTTGTCTGAGTCTTTGAGTACATCGATTGCATCACCACTGCTCTGCCTCTAGAGGGCTTCATACTGTATCAATAAGAGTTTCATTTGGGACATCACTGTAATCAAAGCATGAAAATATTTTATTTCCCCATTTATTATGTGTTACATCATAGGTCTTACAAGAGATTTACAAGATGCATTCAACACATTTATAGATAAATTGGCACTATTTAGATACATAGCTTCATACGCAACTGATTAAAAAGGAGATTCCTGATAGTAAAACAGTAAGTAAGCAGGTCTATCTGCAGTCAATTTGGAGGCAGTAAGTGTGTGTGTGTATATCCACTGGTGAATTGCATGTGTGTGTGAATGCTGTGGTATTATAGTCTGACAGAGGGGTGGGAATCACTCACACATACAATAAGCTTCAACTAAACACACACATAATATGCTTTTGTTCACTTAGAAATCCATAAATCAATCAATATATTGTTGTGACTGATGTAGAAAAGTTTAATGAGGATAACCTGCTCACTTGATTCATGGTGACATGTTATCAGCTTGTATATGGAATATATAGAATTGAACAAATATTTCTAATAGACACATGGTTTTCACTTTGAAAGAGAGGATTCAGAGACTTGGACAGGAACTGTATGCACCAATACAAAATTACAAAGTCAAAATGTTGTCATTAAGTGCAGTCAGACAGGTTTATTTGCATCCAATATCCCCTCTACATGTACTGTAGCTGCTGATAGGATCAATGGGATGATAACAGAATCGGTGCACGACTCAACAATAACATTGATGTTTCATCGTAGCCATGTCTTGCAATAAGGATAATCTCCACAGCACCTTGTAAGTAGGTAAAACTACTGTTATTAAAAAGGCAACGTTATTGCTCAAGTGTTGCAGTGGTGTAATGTTAGCCGATTTGCCGGCTCGGTTGACAAACGACTGCCAAACCGAGCTAAGCTAGCAATGTCCTACATTTGGCTAATAAGCTAGCTAGCTAACAATTTGGCAGTGTAGCTTCGTCCATCTGAATGGACACTGACTGAGAGCGAGAACAGCAGTAGTTTGGTTGATGTTCGGAAACTAAAAAAAATAAATTCATTCAGTGCAGTACAATGGGAGGTAAACCGTAGTAACTCAGCAGCTAGCATTAAACCCGCGCAATATGAAACAAAACACAGAGCTACAACAGGCCCAGCGGCCTGCGTCTCGTCCACAGCTATTCTACACTCTCCGAGCTTGTTGTCGATTCGCGACTAGCAAATGAATCCTTCCATAAAGCCACATATGCGCCATAACGCAGCTCCAGTCAACATCTAAACAATCTGCATCTTTCACCCCGACGCTGCCGGGTTCGATGATGCGGCTGCGCCGGGGCTGAAATAAATGGAGATTGCGCGGTAGGGCACTAACCTCAGAGCGGCTGCGCTACTTCGGGCCTGCGCCGTACAGCGGGGATGGAGCCGAGAATGGAGGACAGAGGGGAGCCAGCAGCAGACACAGCGCGCAGACCGCACACAATACTGAGCGGCACTGGTGGTGCCTTCAGGTGCCGCTCCTATCTCTCAGAGTCACCGTTCATATATTCAGACGTTTTGAAGCGCTGTCGGGCGTGAAAGCACGTCTGTCGGTGGTTGTTGCTTATTCCTTCTGTTTTATAAAAAAGGGAATATATTGTGCTGGTGGATATGCTAATATCATGCCATAATTGCAAGAAAATATGCAACAAAAATTTAGTTATAGTTGTCAGTAGTTGCAAATCGCAAGGGACTGTGTAATGAAACTCTAGTATATAAAATATTTACAGTTTTTTTTTTAAAGTAAGAAATAGAAAAGCAACACTGAAAATACGAACCATAGGTGTGGGGCAAGGCACGTTTTTTTTTTGTTTAGTACTACATTTCATGCCCAAGGACGACTTTAAAGTGTTTCACATAATGCATTAAAAACATTAAAAAAGGAAATACGGTACTTAAGGCCAAAACAAATTACACTAATAACCTGAACACCTGAATGTTTTCACTGGCGACAGCTCGTATTTAGGAAACTCTGGTATCGTAAATTTCCTTTTCTAGTGACAGCGATTGTGCCTTTTTATTGAATCAGGAACTCCCATTTACGCACCATTAGTAATGGGTAATAATTCCGATAGTTCATGAACGCAACATTAGACCTGGCAAGCCACGCCCCCTCGTACTACGTACTGAACTCAACGGCTGCCGACGGGTGACTGACTGTTGTTGCGGTAACCTGAAGTTGTCTAACTTACCTGCTGGGCGACAAACATGAAGCAAAACAAACAAACAAACAAAAATTGTAGAGTTTAACGTTAGTTATGTGGTGTTAAAATGTCTTAATTAGGGAACTCGTCACGTTTCCAACTTACTCCAATCAGCAACACCTGTGTCAGTCAGGATACACTGGGATACTTTCTCCATGAACCAGCTGGCTGATTCCCTAAAGAGGTTAGTCGAGTACTGTAAGAGAAATAATATATAGACTGTAAGTTTTTCACAGTTTATTTTAATGGGACCTAGCTGGCTTGTACAGAAGTATCTTATATTGTTTAAGAAGCCAATAAGTATACCGAGCTAAGGCTAATACAGTTTTATACAGCAGTCCTGCAATAAACCATACCTCTTATTGAAACTGTTTTAGGGAGGTTTGGATTCAACTTTGTGATATTTGTGGGGCCTGCAGTCCTTGGCGCTTCATACAGAGCAGTGTTTCTGTTATTTAGCCTGCCCACATTGATAAATGGGGTGGAAAAAATAAGAACCACCCTCCAAAATGATCATGAAGTTTGAATCAACACGTCTCTAAAACAAAAACAATTGGACATTGTATGAAGGTTGGCTTTATTGCAGGACTGGATTATATTTTATTAGTTTTAACTAGGTGTATCTAATAAACTGGCAATTGCATATGATAGTAGACTTGCAGAAACTAACATGAAAGTTGACCAGGCCTTCGGTTTCTTTAAGTTTTACTACATGTAAAAGGATGTAAAAGAAATTCTGAAATTCTTTCAGTTAACTGCTACTGCTATACTGTATAATAGCATTTAAGTCCTACCTCATTAAAAATCCCAGAATCTATGAATATGAATAAGTTTTGCTGCTGGACACAACATGTCTCCTACTTCACTGTCCATTTAAATCATTCTCAGTCCAAATCCTGCGCATATATTATTCTGCTCAGTTAAGTTCAAACATTAAACTGTAGGAACAAGAAGAAAACCCTAATTTTGAGTGGAGGGGGACCTGTGGCAATGTGACCCTGTTTCAGTATTCATGAAGAACCAAATTAGCCCTGATATGGGACATTTTGGTCTGTAGTGGTGGCGGCACAATATGTTTAAAGTTTGCTCGACTGACCTAATGCTATAAACCTCACCTATACTCCAAACAGGTACAGGGAACATGAAGTGTGGTGGACAAATTGGTGGTGCTACAAGGTGACAAATTCCATGGAAAAGCTGACTGAAAGGATTAGAAAGGTACGTTTTGGATGATTTAAACTTCATGAGAAGTTTTAATGCACCCATGACACATCACAGACCAGCAGCCACAACTTGAAACACACCTCAAGGGGGCAGCGTTGTATTACAAATCACACGTGGACCTCAGCCCCTCAAGTTTGCTGTAACAGGAGATGGCAGTGAGGCATCATTGATGCGGCTCTCTGCAGGTGCCTTGGCGTGAATTCAAGATGATGGATGTTTTACATTAGTGTGTGGTGACAGCAGCTTATGTTTGTGTCTCACTAAATGTCAGCAAGTATCATATTCAAAAATCTGGCAGGAGAGCCGCAAAGTGTGACTCCACATTTTACAGCTTCCATACTGTGTAACTGACCTTCGTACTACACTGTCTTCTTGTAATGCCTTAGCTGTCTCTGCTTTCAACATCTGCAGACAGGATGCCTTATTATCAGTACAATGGCTCTTAATGCTGCGTGACGGATAAACGATGGTCAGAAACAGATGGGTATACTTTATAGTGTTGCTTACCCTGTTGATAGTTAAAGATAAATTTGTTGAGTTTTCTTTGCAAAAATTCAGCTTTTGGCTTTATTATTGGTTCTGCCTTCCATAATCTTCTAAATCTGGTGACCATTTAGGATTAAATGTGTTAGTAACTAACTTGCATTCTGGTCTATAGATCCGCTTAGTGGAGTCGAAGCCACTTGGAAAGTACAGATTTTGCATTTGTTTAATTTATTTCTCAAGGGCACCGCAGTGGAAAACCGTTTCTTTTAGGTAGGTGATGTTGTGACGTAGATGGAGTGAAAAGCTGGAGAGTGTTAATGAACCAAGGTCTTATTATTTGGTCCTATTCTGCTTTCTGCTCCGTGGGCTGTGGTTGGGTATAGATAAGGCTTACAGCCTGGGGGTCTGGAATCAATAATGGATGTAATTGGTGAGGTGGAAGTGAGGATAATTGAAGGTAATTGTGTGGACAGTCACAAGGCTTGGAGAGAGGTCAAGACAATGTGGTGGGGATGGGATAGGAAATCATTCTCTAGTCTTGCTATCCGTTCTGTATACTACATCTCCATGGTACCTACCTGTCTGTCTTGTTGAGTTGTTACTCTTTAAAGCTGCAACAAGACAATATTTTAGGTAAAAATGCAATATTTATCAACCTTATATGACAAAATACAGCTCCAGCAAAGTATTCATCTTCCCTTAGACCACACTCATTTATTGTATTTGCTCAAATGAAGGTCTGGTGTTGTATGGTTACTTACCCAGGTAATACGTGTAAATTTAACAGAGAAATCAGCGGTGATGGAAATCACAAATTAAGCTAAATCTTTTGCCTTTCCTGTCTCATAAAGGAGCATGGATAGGCTGGGCTGGTAAAGATGAGCATGTTGTGTTGTGTACTGTTTACAGATGTCTCGTTACATGATTTGCTATCATTTGGAGCTGCAGGTGTTGCCTTGTGCTCCAATAATTTAAAAACTGGTCTGTAGTTTGTAATTCCGTCTGTATTATTCTCCTGGGTTCCCATACAACTCCTTTAATATTTTAATCACCTTCAGTCACTTTAAAAAAACGTTTCTGCTTGCTAGAAAATTCTGTAGCAGCTCCGTTTATGCATGCTGTATGATAATGTTATTGTACTGCTGGCCACCAAGGAGTTGCATTGTAGCAGTTGTTGGATACCTGCCTTGCTTAAGGGCACCTCAACAGTGGTACATATGGCCACTAGGATGCAACAGCTTAAAAGTGTAGATGTACTTGGAGTATACTTACAAACAGTAACAGGTGAAATATTCAGTATGATCAGCAGGGGGCACTGCAGTACCATGCATTGAACCAAAACTAGACTGCTGTAGAAACTTTATTGCTGCTCTGCAGAGTCATGCCCACTGAATGATATGACACATTCATTCATATTTCACTCCGAGAACATTCAGAGATCACTTCCATCGAGTAGCTTGGAGCAAAATTAATCGAAGATCTATGATATTTTATCTTTGTGTGGATTATATCGAATTTAGGGGCGTATTTTGCAGTTGAGTTTACTTTCAGTTGCAGAAAGTAAATGTATTTTGTGTTCGCAATAAATAAATGAAAGGATGTATCTAGTGTAACCTTGAAAGTACAAAATACATTGTGGTATTGTACACTATAAGTGAGTAACAACATTGCAGCAATAGCACAGCTTTCTTTGATTTTACAGTGCGGATTATGGATTTTAATTCCTGTTTAATAAGGAAGTAAAATTTTAACAAATGTTAATACAGCCTGAGCGATTTTGGCTTTTTAGGACTGTCACCAAAGTTTGAAAAAATATTGACCCTCCAATTATTAGTGATGAAAACTAGAGGCAAAATATTTTACAGGTAAACAATACATTTTGTATTTTTAAGCACTCTGCACCACCATCTGCTTACCTGTGATATGTTACTTTACCAACTTATTTTCTGCAGTGTTGCATAAACAAAAGTCTGATGCACAAACTATGTTGTCATTAAACTGTCTCTTAATTAGCCTTAATATTTTCTCTTTGGCTTAGTCTGTACAATTTCTTTTTATTATTATATAGTAAAAGTCACAGATAGTCAATCGCCATATAGCCTAAAAAGAACATTTACATGTTTCCAAGAACACAAGGTGAATGGGAACAGTGGTTGGATTGGGAAACGCGTGAGCAGTTTTGGGGAATCAGTGTAAATGCATTGATACAACATCAATCATCCGCTTTGATGTCGCAGCCAAAGGTTTCCAGGTGATCACACAGCTTCACAGCTCTCTTGTCACTGGCAGGCTCAGAAGTAGCCGCTCCAGCATTTGTCCTTGTAGATCCCACTCCCTGAAGGATTTGGTGAAGGATGTTGTCGGTGATGAATGCTTTCTGCAATTTAACTGGATATTAGATTGGAAGTTCTCCTGTTATTTCTCAGCTGGCAGGGAATGTCAATAGATGGAGAACTTCTTGAGTATCTCACATACATGGAAACCAGTGAGGCACTTAGTATGGATTCTATATTTTGGCTGTTGTTTTTTTGTGTTTAACTGCTGCAAGACACATGTTTCAGTATCATTTCAACCATCCGCTCTCCCACTTGCCTTCACTCTCCCCCTATCTTTCCTTGTAATATATTGTCTGTCCTTTTGCTATCAGTGGTATCTTAGTAAATGCAAAATGTATACGGTGGTTCAAAACAGAGTAAATGCAAGAGTTTGAAAGTTAGTGAGTACAGTACTGTATGAGTTGGGAAGAGAGGAGGAGGAGGAGGAGGATGAGGAGGAGGAGGAGGAGGAGTGTTTTCATTACAGATCATCAAGTCAAGGCTTTCCCTTTATTTTCCAAGCACAGCCTGTTGTCAATAGAAACAGGAGTGTAGAGATGATGATTATAAAGGTCAAGAAAAACAGAATGAAGGGGAAACGAGCAGAAATTGTAAAGGAAAGACTGAGTGAAGCAACTGTCAGTGAGTTGTCTATTGTGGGGTCAAGTGTTTGTCTCTTTCCTCCTTCACGATGTGTTCCCGTGGCTAATTGGAAATGAAGTGTAGGTAATGAACCTGTTTATAGACTCATTACTACAATATTCAGCATTAGCGCAGGTTATTGTGGACATCCAGGACAAGAGCTGTTGAAAGTAGAATAGAATAAAGGACAACAGAGATTCACGGAAGGTAAAATATCATTGTCATGAATCTGCATACTTTGATATAAAAAGATTTATCGCAGGTGTTCTTTAATATCTCTTCACACATGCTGATTGTTGTGACCAAGATAATTGGGCCCCTGTCGGCTTGTGTTGTGCCACGAATGCTAGTTTTAACACCTGCCCAAGAGGGGAGTATAGCCTCGTAAAGCCAGGCTACTGTACATCTTGCAAGCTCAGTTATTTACTGCAAGATTGAACACTGTGAGCAAAGCAGAAATTGTGAGCTAGTGTTGCTAGGCTAAGGGTGGCAAGACTCCTTGTAAAAGCAACTGCTAACTCTCAAGAAAGGTGACATTTCAACTGCAAGGACTGACGAAGAGAGAAAATACAACCAAGTGGGAGTTTATCGTCACTGTGCTGAGCTTAGTGTATGCTTGCAGAGAGTGACATGGTCAGATTGCCATTATGATGATTATTATTGTTATTCCAGCACCTGTGGTGGTTGGACCCTGACTACCCAGAGACCTGTACTTGTATAGCGCCTTTCTAGTCTTCCGACCACTCAAAGCGCTTTTACACTACGTGTCACATTCACAGTGCATCGAACAGAAACTAACATCATACACATTCACACACCGAGTATCTTGGCTTCAAGGATACTTCGACATGTGGCACCAGGGGCTGGGGATCAAACCCACAACCTTCCGATTTAGGAACGACCCGCTCTGCCTCTGAGCCACAGCCGCCATAGGAATAGGAACCACTTGCTTACAACTGACACAAATTTTCAGTTTTGTGTTTTTTTTATCACATCTTTATCCATATTTTAGGTACTTATTACCTTTTACTTTACATGTGTTGTCTCGCATCACATCTTCATAATCACAAGATCACAAAAGTCTCCTAAGCTTCAGCAATATGTTTCCAACCCAACCAGTTAATTTTTCATTTGATGCAGGAGTCTGGTAAGCCTAGTTGAAATTCCATTTAGGCAACAAATACTCAGCATGAAATTCTATTAGTTACAAACTGTGCACTAACACCATGACCTTAATTCTTGTCAAGCTGGAATATAAAACATGGTAATAGATTCACCTGTGTTAAGTCAAATAACCCATGGCTAAATGCTTGGAAGAAGTGCATATTTTGACGGCAGTGACTCACTCTGTCATAGTTAATGGCACAATGTCTTCTGTTTGACTTAATGAGCTTTATTAAGTTCTGACTCAATACTCTTCTGAGTTTTGGGTGTTGTTTCCCCAATGCTAATTCAGTAACGGGGACTGCCGTTATCATGAGTAGAACAGTGCCATACGCATCATTAGAGTCTCTAACACGTGTGTGGTGCATAGTAGGGACTTATCTTCTT